AGAAGGAGAAGAGAACTCTAGAACTTAATTTGGCCTCCCTTCCATTTCCACTTGTGGCTAATATATAACCTTCTTCAAATTAATTATTTTACTATCAAAATGACCATTTTGTCCTTCTATTCCTCCTTCCTTGAAATTTGATCCTACACAACATTTCCCATATAAGTCCTTACTCTATTCAATTATTATACTTTAGTCACCAAATTTTGAAGTTTAACAATTTAATCACTAACCCAGTATTGAGGATGTTACAGTTCCGGAATAGGGATACATTCAATATCTACATAATCATACATTGATACACATCAGTATTCTAACTATTATACTCTAATTTTCATTTCTTATACTAAAGGAAAAGTTTATTTTCCATTTTCATTTGAAGAGGTATCGGTACCCACTATAGGTTACCGGTACCACCCTAGTTGAGGGTATCGATACCGAATTTACATTCAATATCACCCTGGTATCGATACCTCCCTTAAGGTATCTGTACCTAAATTGCATTCGATAATTTGGCCTCTCTTTCATTTCAACTTGTGACTAATATATAACCTTCTTCAAATTAATTATTTTACTATCAAAATGACTATTTTGTCCTTCTATTCCTCCTTCCTTGAAATTTGATCCTATACAACATTTCTCATATAAGTCCTTAATCTATTCAATTATTATACTTTAGTCACTAAATTCTAAAGTTTAACAATTTAATCACTAACCCGATATTGAGGATGTTACAGATCCAAAGTCAATAAGTTTCGACATGATCTGATCTAATTGGGTCATTTTATAAAAAAAAAGGTTGGTTTTGGGTCAGTTTTTTTGAAGGGATGGAATTGGGTTCGTGGTTTGAATTTAATGTGAAAAACTTTTATCTGACCCGAGATAACATTATAATAATCTCTCACATATTTATGGATAATTTCAATAATATCACTTTGTATATACTTTTTTAATTAGGTATTTATTTTACCTTATAAACATAGTATATATATATATATGAGTTAGATGTGGATTTTTAACTAAAACCAAATTGAGTGAGACTTTCTTAAATCCGCAACGGATACGAATGAAAAAAAAATTAATTTTCAATTTAAATTCTAATAAGCCAAAAATTTGATCTGATTCGAACTATGACTATCTCTAATCATAATAACCTAGATCACAAAATATTTTAGTATTTTATACTATGATAACCCAATTTTAAAATTTAATTTAATCTAACATTTGTATTATATAAAACATTTTATCAACCAACTGTTTAAAAATAACTATTATTGTAAGTCACAATTCGAGAATGATGTATCAAAATTTTAAACAAAATATATATTCATGATATGATGAATGATATGTATCAAATTTTGAGAATGATGCGTCATAATTATGATATTTTATTAATTACAAAATCAAGTATTTTCTTACAAAATTAATTATTGTCCATTCGCTTATGGGTGTATTTAAAAAATTAATGTTATATTGTTAAGACATAAAATTATCACTGCATCTAATCCTTTTAGTGGTTATCTTTAAATGTGTCAAATGATGGGTTTGATCCCTTTATCGTACTTTAATTTGAAAATTAATATGTGTTTAAATTTAAAAACTCTAATTTTATTTTAAGAAACCATGAATTGTTATTTAAGAATTCTGAAAGTATGTACAAAAAAACACTTATCCAATGAAACACACCGATAGTGTTTTGAAAAAAAATCCTGTAGCAAAATAGTTATTGTGTTAATTATCTAGAGTAATTAAAGACACGAGACCAAATTATGACAAATAATAAGGATTATAGCTCAAATTTAAAATAATACAGGGTCTAAGACCATAATAACTTTTTATTTTTAAAGGGATGAGTCCAGTTGCTAATTAATTTAGTAGCAACACCATGTTTTGTACCAAACAATATTGAAAGACTCGCAAAGTTGACCAAGAAATGAGGAGGCAACACTAATATTAACTGCATCAGCCACAATGGCAATGCCTGGATTTTGCTGTTACAATAGTATATAAATATCAGCCTCTTTCAAACTTCGATGACTTGCCTTTTTATTTACTTAGAGAAGACGAACGTAAAATCAACAGAAAGTTTACCCGTCATTTTCTTCAGTGAAAACTGAGATGTCGAAGGAGAATTACAGGGTGTGCCTGTGTTGGAGGAGAATATTCAAGACCAGGGTCGTTGAGCCACCCGTTGATGTCAAGGATGTGTTTTACAGTATCTCACCAAGTGGAATGATGACAGTTGATGACCTGCTGAGGTTCCTGATCCAACATCAAGGTCAAAAGAACGCAACCATGAAGGATGCTCAAACCATTTTTGATAGTCTCAAGCATCTCAGCATCTTCCAAAGGAGGGGGCTCCATTTAGATGCCTTCTTCAGGTATCTCCTCGGTGATCTTATCCTTGCTCACCCTCCACCTTCAAAGGTAAACTTATTCTGGGTTTTTTTTAGAGGGATTAAGTCTCGTTGTTTCAATGAATTTAGAGTTCATTCTTATGGAAATTGGAAAGCTTGGTTCTGCCTTTGTTGTTTAGGTGCACCATGACATGAATGCTCCCCTGTCGCATTATTTCTTATTCACTGGCCATAACTCATACTTGACCGGGAATCAGTTCAGCAGTAAGAGCAGTGTTGAACCTATCAAAGATGCTCTGCTTAGAGGTGTAAGAGTAATTGAGTTGGATTTGTGGCCAAGTTCCAAGGGAAACGATGTGAAAGTTTGTCATGGAAGGTAAAAGAAACCCTTTTTCCTTTCATGAATTGATCAATTTTTTTATATAAAATTGATTAAAACCATGTGAAGTTGATGGATTGATTGAAACTTGCAGGAGACTTCTTCTGTGGGCCTCCAAAAATGTTTGCAAGCAATCAAGGAGAATGCATTTAAAGCTTCAGAGTATCCTGTTGTAATCACTTTTGAAGACCACTTGAAACCAAATCTTCAGAAAAAAGTGGCTAAGGTGAGCTTATAATGATAGATTCAGTATGGAAGTTTTACTAATGGCAACCTTGAAAAGTTTTTTCTTCTTAAAAACATGATTTTATTTAGATGGTCACAGAAACTTTCGGAGACATGCTTTACACTAACGAAACCGAACATTTGGAGCAATTTCTTTCCCCGGAATCATTGAAGAAAGGGTTTTGATTTCAACCAAACCCCCAAAGGTGTTCCAAAACACCGAAGGGGAAGGAGTTTCAGAAAATAGAAGTGAAACACAGACAAATGAACGTCAAAGTAGTAGCCAGGTGCCTTAAGAGTTCCTTATAAATATTAAACTTCATTGATGTAATGTTGACAATAACCGCTTACCTAATCGTCATTTATGATTTGTTAGTGGAATCCACCAGAAGAGGGAGAACATATTCCGGATGAAGACGAGGAGAAAGTTGTGCCTGAATACAGGCACATAATTTCCATACATGCAGGGAAGCTGAAAGGTGGATTAGAGAATTGGCTGAGTGATGATCCTAACAAAGCTAGGCGGCTCAGCTTGAGTGAGCAAGAGCTTCAAAATGCAGTAAAAACACATGGAACCAAAACTGTCAAGTATGTATAGCAGCCGCTGTTTAAATACTAATGATAACAATGAGATTTTAGTTATCAAATTCATTGTATTCTTTCTAAAGGTTTACTCAAAGGAATTTGCTGAGAGTGTATCCCAAAGACGCACGAGTGGACTCTTCTAATTACAATCCTTTTGTCGGATGGATGCACGGAGCTCAAATGGTTGCATTTAATATGCAAGTAAGACAATTCCAAGAACATGCAAATGCTTGCTGGAATAACTGTTATTCTCTACTGGAGCAATGTTTTATGTTTGAACTGTTCTTACCCTGGTTTCTCTTCTTACAGGGACATGGAAAGCACCTATGGATAATGCAAGGAATGTTTAAAGCTAATTGTAGATGCGGCTATGTGAAAAAGCCTGATTTTTTGCTGCAGAGGGGTCCGAACGATGAAGTTTTTGATCCTAGTGTGCCACTGGACGTCAAGACGATTGTGAAGGTGGATCAATATATCCCTAATAATAACTGCGTTATTCGGTTCCTTCACTTTATTAGCCTTCCATAGCTGAAACCTTGACGTTTTTCTACGCAGGTAAAAGTTATCCAGGGGACTTTTCTGGGGGAGGGTTGGCATCAGGATTTCCCCCACACCGCATTCGATTGCTTTTCGCCACCAGACTTCAAGACAAGAGTGAGACGATTAAAATTCTGTATGAAACATACTGATACTGAAGTGCATATGCTGTTTTTTCTGACTCACTTATCCATCTGCAGATTGGAATTGCTGGTGTTCCTGCAGATAAGGTTGTAAAGGAAACAGCAACAATGGACGATGAATGGTTACCTGTATGGAACCAGGTGTTCGAATTCCAATTAAGAGTTCCAGAATTAGCTGTGCTTCGGATTAAAGTTCTCGAGTCTGATACAGGGAGTTCTGATTTCGGAGGCCAAGCATGTTTGCCTGTATCGGAGTTGAGAACCGGGATTAGGGCAGTTCCATTACATGAAAAAAAAGGGAATAAATACAACCATGTAAGGCTTCTATTGAGCATCAAATTTGAGGCTCCCTTATGATATCTCACAATTCAGATTTGTTTCATGTTGTAATGAAAGTATCCTACATTGTATGCATAAACAGTGTTCATTAACATTTCTCAGTTCATTAACTTGGGACCATTTTGTCTGTAACCACTAATCTCAATAACCTTTAGCTTCAATACAACAACACATTTTCCCACTTTCAATAACCTTTAGTTTCAATGCAGCAACTCATTTTCCCACTTTCAATCTTTTATTGACATTTAAAAATATTAATAAAAAAGAACAAACTCGGAATTTAATCCAATTAATTCACGTAGAAAAATATTATTTAAAAGATTTGATCTTAACATTGAAAAATTCTGTTATGAAAAGAATTGTATGGACTCTTCTAAAAGCTTATTCCGAAGGAATGGAAATTGTTCTAGAAGAGAGACTAGCAGGGCTGTCCTGTTAAAGTGATAATGGTTTCTCCAAATTTGCAACAATGTCAATCATATTAGGCCTCTCTTTTCCTTCCAAATTCACACATTGCATAGCTGTATAAGCCATCAGCTCCACTGCCTCAGCCTCGTGAATCTCCGGCACCCTGACCATTCGATCTATCACTGCCCGGAGATCCCCAGCTGATAGCCCCGGGATTGCATACTCGACCACTGCCGTTGGCCCTGTCCCATCTTCTTCATTTCTAAAAACAGCTTTTCTTCCTGCCAAAAGCTCTAACAATACCACCCCAAAACCATATACATCACTTTTTGTTGTCAATACATTCGATACACAATATTCAGGATCAATGTATCCAATTGTCCCAACTGCCCTGGTTGACATAAATTCTTGATCATACTCGGGTCCCGTTAGCGATAGTCCAAAATGGGACACCTTGGCTGTCCAAACCGTATCCAATAGTATGTTCGATGACTTAATGTCTCGATGAATTATAGGCGGCACTCATAGTTATGTAAGTATTCAATCCCTCTTGCTGCATCTGATGAAATTTTGATCCTCGTTTTCCATGAATTTAAAACGCTATCACTCTTCTCAGTGTTGTCTTTGATATGCAAATGATCATAAAGTGATCCTTTGTTCATGTAGTCGTAAACCAAAAGCCTTTCATCGTTTTCTTGGCAGAATCCAACTAAGCACACCAAGTGCTTGTGGTGAAGCCGTGATAACTGTTAAAAGTCAAATAATTTAGGCACCAAATGGTGCTTTGTCAAAGTCAAAAATTAGGAACCTAATTTTTGTTGAAATTGGGTAATGAGATAATTAATTTTAGTCATTGTAATTTAGGGTATTTATAAGATTAGTCCTTAAATTTCAACTATAAATACCCCAGCTCATTTAGCTTCAAAATCATCCCAAAGCATTTTAGCTTTCTTCTAATACTAGAGAAAATTCAGAGAGTTTCTTGAGAGTTGTTTTCTCCTTTTTATCGAGAGAGAATTATCATTATTTTCTCCTTGGTAGATCGAGAGAGGTTGCAATTCCTATTTTCTCATAGTGAAATTCTTCTACCGTTACCCGTGGTTTTTACCCTATTTTATTTAGGGGTTTTTCACGTAAATTTTGTGTCTCTTTTTATCTTCATTTTTATTTTCTCAAATTATCAATTGCGATTTTGCTCTATCCGATAGCCGTCTTCCGCAACAATTGGTATCAGAGCCAGATTTGAGTGTGTAATATCTGCTTATTATCTTTGTGGTTGCCACCAAAAGGTGGATCCTCCAACATAAGAAAATAAGAAGGTATTACACATTCTTTGAGATTCTAGAGAACTATTCACGATAGTAAAATAGTATGAGCTATCAATAATAGAAGCTATGGCAACGAAATTTGATATTGAAAAATCCAATAGGAGAAATTTCTCATTGTGGAAATTGAAGATGAAGGTCATCCTGAGGAAAGACGGTTGTCTAGCAACTATCAGTGAAAGGCCAATGGATTTCACAGATGACAACAAATGGATCGAAATGGACGAGAATGCTATGGCAAACTTTCATCTAGCATTAGCAGATGAAGTATTGTCAAGCATCGAGGAGAAGAAGACAGCTACAGAGATATGGGACCATCTCACCAAATTGTACGAGGCCACACCGCTGCACAATAAAATTTTCCTTAAGAGAAAATTGTACACTCTCCGTATGCCAGAATCTACTTCAGTGACGGAGCACTTAAATACACTGAACACCTTATTTTCTCAGCTTACATCCTTAAGCTGTAAAATAGGAGAACAAGAACGTGCTGAACTTCTACTTCAAAGTCTACCGGATTCGTACGATCAACTCATCATCAACTTGACAAACAGTAATGTCACCAGTCTAGTCTTCGATGACGTTGCAACTGCTGTTCTACAAGAAGAAAATCGGTGCAAGAACAAGGAAGACAGACAAGTAAATCTGCAACAAGCAGAAGCGTTGACAACGATGAGAGGGAGATCAACAGAACGTGGCCAAAGCAGCAGTCACAAACATGGTAGATCAAAGTCGAGGAGCAAGAAGAATTTAAAGTGCTACAACTGTGGAAAGAAAGGTCACTTGAAGAAGGATTGTTGGAGTCTAAATAAAAACTCCAATCCACAAGGCAATACCGCAAACACTTCAGATGATGGAGATGCTCTATGCTGTGAAGCGTCAACCACCATGGAAGACAGAAAAAGATTTGCAGATATATGGCTCATTAATTCGGGAGCGACATATCACATGACCTCAAGAAGAGAATGGTTCCATCATTATGAACCTGTCTCAGGAGGATCTGTGTATAGTTGCAATGATCATGCCTTAGAGATCGTTGGTGTGGGAACCATCAAATTAAAGATGTATGATGGAACAATTAAAGTTGTTTGAGATGTGCGGCACGTGAAAGGCCTGAAGAAAAATTTATTATCCTACGGATTGTTGGATAATAATGCAAGCAAGATTGAAACACGAAAAGGAATCATGAAGGTGTTCCGTGGAGCGCTTGTGGTGCTGAAAGGCGAAAAAATAGCTGCAAACTTGTATATGCTGAAGGGAGAGACTTTGGTAGAAGCATAAGCCTCTGTTGCCTCATGTAGTTTAGATTTGGCAATGCTATGGCATCAGAAACTTGGACACATGTCAGAACAAGGAATGAAAGTCATTGTGGAGAAAAAGCTACTTCCAGGCTTAACAAAGGTATCACTTCTTTTGTGTGAGCATTGCATAACAAGTAAGCAGCACCGGTTGAAATTCAACACATCAAATTCTAGAGGCAAAAGTGTTCTAGAATTGGTTCACTCTGACGTATGGCAAGCACCAGTAACGTCCCTAGGTGGAGCAAAATACTTTGTCTCATTTATTGATGTCTACTCCAGGAGATGTTGGGTGCACCCTATTAAGAAGAAGTCAGACGTGTTTTCAACTTTCAAAAACTTCAAAGCGCGGGTGGAACTTGATTCTGGAAATAAGATCAAGTGTTTCAGAACAGATAATGGAGGAGAATACACAAGCGAAGAATTTGATGACTTTTTGCAGGAAAGAAGGCATCAAAAGACAGTTCACAGTGGCGAACACTCCTCAACAAAATGGAGTGGCAGAGCGGATGAACAAAACCTTGTTAGAAAGAACAAGAGCAATGTTGAGGGATGCAGGCCTAGAAAAATCATTCTGGGCAGAAGCAGTCAATACCGCCTGTTATTTGGTAAATCGAGCTCCATCAACGGCAATAGAGCTGAAGACACCAATGGAGATGTGGACTGGAAAACCAGCTGATTATTCAAACCTCCATATATTTTGGAAGTATAGTGTACATGATGTACAACTCCCAAGAAATTTCAAAGTTGGATCCAAAATCCAGGAAATGCAAATTCTTGGGGTATGTTGATGGAGTAAAGGGGTATCGCTTGTGGGATCCCACTGCCCGCAAAGTGATCATTAGTAGAGATGTTATCTTTGTAGAAGATAAACTACAAAGAAAAGAAGAAGATGATCGCTGAAAAGTCAGAGACTACTCACATATATGTGGAAAAAGAGTTTGAAGAAGGAGATTCTTCTGAAGCAGAACCAGCACATGATGAACAAGAACCAGAGAGTTCTGAAGCTCCAACAACTCGTCAATCAGATCGTGTGAGAAGACGTCCCAATTGGCACTCAGATTATGTTATAGAAGGTAATATTGCATACTGTCTTTTAACAGATGACGGTGAGCCATCAACATACCAGGAGGTAATAAACAACTCAGATGCTTCACTGTGGATGATGGCGATGCAAGAAGAAATCGAAGCCCTTCATAAAAATAATACATGAGACCTTGTGCCACTACCACAAGGAAGGAAGCCAATTGGTAACAAATGGGTCTTCAAAATCAAGCGAAATGGTGACGATCAAGTTGAGAGGTATCGTGCAAGATTGGTGGTCAAAGGATATGCTCAAAAAGAAGGTATTGATTTCAATGAAATATTTTTCTCCTGTGGTTCGACTAACAACAGTTTGAGTAGTTTTGGCAATGTGTGCTACATTGGACTTACATCTAGAGCAGCTAGATAATAAAACAGCTTTTCTTCATGGAAATCTTGAAGAAGAAATTTATATGCTCCAGCCTGAAGGTTTTGAAGAAAAAGAAAAGAAGAACTTGGTTTGCAGGTTGAACAAATCTCTGTACGGTCTAAAGCAGGCGCCGAGGTGTTGGTATAAGAGATTTGATTCTTTCATTATGTGCCTTGGATACAACAGACTTAATGCAGACCCTTGTGCTTATATCAAGAGGTCTGGTGATAACGATTTTGTTATTTTGCTGTTGTATGTGGATGACATGTTGGTTGCAGGACCCAACAAAGTTCATATTGAAGAATTGAAGGCACAACTGGCTAGGGAATTTGAAATGAAGGACTTGGGATCAGTAAACAAGATTCTAGGGATGCAAATTCACCGAGATAGAAGTAATAGGAAGATTTGGCTTTCACAAAAGAATTACTTGAAGAAGATCTTGTCACGATTCAACATGAAAGATTGTAAGCCAATTTCTACCCCTCTTCCTATTAACTTCAAATTATCCTCCAGTATGAGTCCTAGCAGTGAAGAAGAGAGAATGGAGATGTCTCGAGTACCGTATGCATCAGCAGTGGGAAGTTTAATGTTCGCTATGATATGCACAAGACCAGACATTGCACAAGCAGTGGGAGTGGTTAGTCGGTACATAGCGAATCCAGGCAAAGAGCATTGGAATATTGTAAAGAGGATCCTCAGATACATCAAAGGGACCTCAAATGTTGCATTATGTTACGGAGGATCAAACTTACTAATCAATGGTTATGTAGATTCTGACTATGCAGGGGATTTGGATAAAAGCAAATCTACTACAGGATATGTGTTAAAAATTGTTGGTGGAGCTGTAAGCTGGGTTTCAAAATTGCAGTCAGTTGTGGCTACGTCCACAACAGAGGCATAATATGTGGCAGCTACACAAGCCAGTAAAGAAGCAATTTGGTTGAAGATGCTATTGGAGGAGCTTGGGCACAATCAAGAGTATGTCTCTCTGTTTTGTGACAATCAAAGCGCCTTGCATCTAGCAAGGAATCCAGCATTTCATTCAAGGACAAAGAACATACGAGTTCAGTACCATTTCATTCGTGAAAAGGTGGAAGAAGGAAGGGTAGATATGCAGAAGATCCATACCAAAGACAACATAGCAGATTTCATGACGAAGGCAATCAATGCTGATAAATTTACCTGGTGTCGATCCTCCTGTGGCCTGTCAGAAACGTAAGCAACATGAAGGTACAAGGTAGAAAGAATGGTGTGAAGATATGATTATTCCAATCAAATCTTCAAATGGGAGATTGTTAAAAGTCAAATAATTTAGGCACCAAATTAGGCACCAAATGGTGCTTTGTCAAAGTCAAAAATTAGGCACCTAATTTTTGTTAAAATTGGGTAATGGGATAATTAATTTTAGTCATTGTAATTTAGGGTATTTATAAGATTAGTCCTTAAGTTTCAACTATAAATACCCTAGCTCATTTAGCTTCAAAATCATCCCAAAGCATTTTAGCTTTCTTCTAATACTAGAGAAAATTTAGAGAGTTTCTTGAGAGTTGTTTTCTCCTTTTTATCGAGAGAGAATTATCATTGTTTTCTCCCTTGGTAGATCGAGAGAGGTTGTAATTCCTATTTTCTCATAGTGAAATTCTTCTACCGTTGCCCGTGGTTTTTACCCTATTTTATTTAGGGGTTTTCCACGTAAATTTTGTCTCTTTTTATCTTCATTTTTATTTTCTCAAATTATCAATTGCGATTTTGCTCTATCCAATAGCCGTCTTCCGCAACAATAACCGTGATAACAATGCTATTTCTGATTCAAAAGCAGTTTCTTTCTCTTGGAAATTTCATTACCTTTGCTGAAGTTTCTCCTCTTTTAATGACGACTTCACGACCGTCCGGAAGTTTGCCTTTGTAAACAACCCTGAAGCTCCCAGCACCTATCTTGTTTTCCATGGAGAAGTTGGTGGCATCAGTAAGTTCTGAGAGTGAAAAATGTTGGGTTTTCTCTGCACGTCTTGATGTTGATGACCCACTTCTTTCACGTCCTAATCTTCATGAGTTGTTGCGTCTGATGGAAAATGAAGTTTCAGGTGGGGCAATGGTATCATTATTGTCCCCAACGGTCGTAATTATATTGGCCACCTGTTTTTTCCGACCTATATAATTACGACCCATACGCAGTAAAAAAAACAGTTGTGGACAATATAATTACGACCGTTGTGGACAATAATGATACCATTGCCAATATCATTATTGTCGTAATTATCTTCGTGAGGGTCATTTGAGAGACGGTAGTTTAGTTTCTAGCTGTATCCATTGAAGAAGAGTACTAAACCAACTTTCGTACAAGTGTGAAGCATGTGGTCCTATGAATTAGGTGGTGTTGGAGGGTAAATTTGGTGATTCAAACCTTGAGAAAGGTTATTTTATCAATATTTAAGTATACAAAAGGTGTTTAACTTATTTTTTAATTTAGTGCCTAACGTTTTGATGTCTAACGTTTCATTCCATTACTCAAAATTAATCAAGCCGTGACAGAATTTTAAGTATGGTCGTTAACTCATTTAAAATACCATCAAACATATTTTTTAATATTGAAAAATAATTTCTGAAAATAAGAAATTAATTAAAATAGATTAATTGAAAAATTAAATCTTTTAAATCAGTTTCACTCTCTTCCCTTTTAGAAATGAAAAACAGCTTATACCGAGAGAAATTACTGTATACAACATCAATTCTATCTTTACAAAATAAGGAAAGAAATTTGATGCTCGGCAATTTTCGAAGGGACTATACAAGAGAAACAACATATAAGGAATAAATGAAATATAAAAGGAATAGTCAACCTTGCTGATCTTCATTAGCTCTTCCTTAGGAAACCTGGCTTCACTTCTTTGTGTAAGGTATGTTCTCACTGCATTCCTAATAGCATTTAGATGCTTCCATACTGACAAAGTAGTGATGCTGGCAATGCAAACTATTCTCAATTTCTATCACTGTGAAAATACCGCATGTATCCCATAAGAATCGAGAAAGGAATCGATTTTTTAGTTCGCTTTGGGTAGTAATAGATTCCGCATTCCTCAATTGCAACAATAAACAGGAATTATAAATGTTACTTGCAAATTTTTAGATTATCCAAAAGGAATGGGAAGAGAGGGAAACTGATTTAGAAATTTAGGGTTAACGGATAAAAGTTAAAAGGTTTAATTTTTTTAATTAATATATTTTAATTAATTTCTTATTTTCAGAAATTATTTTTAATATTAAAAAATATGCCAGGTTATATTTTTAATGAGTTAACGGTCAAATTTAATAGTCCGTCACGGTTTGATCCGTTTTATGTAACGGAATAAAACATAAGACATCAAACTGAAACAAAATAAACGTTAAATACTAAACTAGAAAAACTAGCATAAGTTATACACCTTTTGTATAATTAAGCCTTTTATCAAACATATGATTTTATTACAAACCATCTGTATTCAATGAATTCAACCCTTTACCCTTGATCTCTTTGTGATTTATGCCCGGCATGTCCACGATAAACACGTAAGATGTCGGGTACTCTATCACGTCGGCTGGAGTGGCTGCCACGGCCTTTGCATCTCGGACATAGGCTCGAGACGGGTTGTTTCGGGCCTTCTCTTGCTCCTCGGGGATGTCCAGCATTTCTTCCAGGATTGTGAAGACTGGAGAATCGAAACCAAAGCTATTGAAATCCATGATTCAACCTCTAAATATGTAGTAAAAGGAAAAGAAATAACAAAAGGGAGTGGGTTGTAGGAAGATGCTTTGGTATGGAATGTGGTAAATTTTAAGATGATTTCGGAGTGACTTGTAAGGTGTTGAATGGAGTAGTATATATAATAGGAGAAAAGCGAAGAGAGACGAGAGTTCTAGACATTGACGTGCTGTCTAGAATTCCCATGATCATGGGGCATGCTATGCTTGGAATTCTGAAGAAAACACGTAAAACGTCTATAATTTTCTCCTCCTTTCGAATTATTTCTTAAGGACCCATTTTCCCATGCAAGATAAATGGGCATGGATCGCACTCAAGCCCAAATCTCTGGATCAAATTTGCATTTTGCAGTGATTACCCAGGCTAGAAAATAAACCCACCTTGGGCAAGCTTGATCAAAGCCTAGTATGAAAGTGTTGTACCCAAATATGCTTTTGATTTTATAAAAAGTGATTTTCACCTGTAAACTTCATGTTTTACTGGAAGATCGAATATGTTGGGCAGTCGAATCCATCACTACCGTTTCCCTTTTATCTAAACAATACATCATCTTTTCTCTCTGGACATATTAAGAGGATTGGATTATTTGTCTGATTTCTTCAACTTGATTATTATTAAAAACATTAAGAAATAAAATGCTTCAGCTGTAAAATAATTACTATCTATTTACAGTAATATACTGTTTACATTATTAGATGAAATGAATTTGAATTCAACCGGATTCATGATGAAGATGTGTTAGGCCCACAAACAGACCCATTAAATCTTTCATAATCTTTTCTCTTCGATTTGGGAACAAATGGTGTCACGTCAATGATCAAAGTGCCTATCTTATCGTTAAAGTTGGAACCAAAAACAAACGAAAGAAATTAATACCCCGTTGCTTTGCAAGCTAATGGCCTGTCTACCCCCTTCCATATTCGATGATGATTTACTCGAATTTTTGTTCAAAGTCAAATCACTTTATCATATCCCCTTTGATTTTCTTTAATCTAATTTTTTTAATTTGTATCAGAATAAGTGTTTTTTTAATAGTTTAGCCATTGTTTGTATCTTTGATTTATCTATTTGGTTATATTATTGGAAGTTTAGGGTTGAAAAGTATTTTAATTATGTTTTTTTTTCAGTAATAAATATTAAATAAGACATCGTAAATTTGAATATAGGTATTTGTATCGGTGAGAAGCGTACGTGAACACAAAGAGAGAGAAAGGAAGGAAATACGAAAATGTTGTGCTTGTAAATTTTTCCTTAATCCAAACCTAATTTGTTGATTTACCCTGTCATTAACCTGTTAATGGCAAAATATAGGAATTTATATTATTTTATGACTAAAAGGTTTTTTTTTTGGTGGGGGTGGGGGACTACCATGTATGGTGTGGATAGAAATGGCAAAGATTGTTTGTTGTTTGGTCTGCCCACAAAACAGAACAAACTCAATGGTAAATGTCAATATTTTTTTTCAATGGTGTCCCCCGATGAATTCCAATTCAAGCAAAAAGCTTAGAAAGTGAAAGATTTAACTAAATGCCAATATTTGATTTTCTCTCCTTTTTTTATTAGTAAGATTTAAAGGGTAAAATACACTGATGATCCATTTTATTTTCAACATGTCTTGTTTGGTTCATCAGTTTTAAAAAAGGTAACGTTTTGGTCACTTATAATTAGTTTGATTATGTGGTGTGCTAGTAAAAATGATTAAATTTTAATCTGACCCCTTAATTTTAGATAAAACATTAATTTGAACATGTATTTTAGATAAAGTACTAATTCAACCCTCATACTTATGATAAAATATCAATTTGACCATCAAATCCGATCAAAGCTACCACTATCGGCGGCCACTTATCACTGTTGCAGGTCAATGTCAATTGTCGTCATTGATCACTATCGGCTACCATTAAAAATTATTGTTGGACTCTAAAATGTTCAATTCATAGTCTATAACCTTTCAAATTTCTTTAAAAACCAACCATGATAATAAATTTATCATCATATTTTGAGAGAAAATAATTTGTAAATAATGATTAAATCGTAATATTTAAGTCAACTAATAATATTTTTTAATAGTCTTATGTGATTACAACGTAATATATGTTCAGAACTTTTTTAATCAATTGATAACACACACCTGCAAATGCGATTACTTAAAACAATAACCTCTAAAAAGAACAATGTTTCCTTTCATCATTGAAATCATGTATTGAACCAAAATGTTATCTTTATTATTCAAATGATATAAAAAAATATAAAATTGAGATGAGGGTGACAAATTAGGTTAAGTAACTCCAAAATATAAATAAGGTGTGACGAGGCAAAGGGCTTTAGGAGGAAGGGTGAGTCCCTTGGGCGATTGAGAGGCTGAAAAGTCGATAGCGACTGGGGATTGGCTATGGCGGAGCATCTATACCATATTTTGACATTCTAAATTATAGATGAGAGAGAAATTACTTGTATCAACCTATCACCTCTACTTTTTCTTCGAAAACATTATGTTGTTTGTGTTATTACAACTCTTATAATTATTGAACTTTAAAAAATGTATAAGTATTTAAAACATTAATGATAAAACTAAAGATAATTATATTCAGATTTCAAATTCGATTTTTAGTATGGATCCGTTTCAGTTTGGTTATGTTATAATTGTTTTCTTCTGGATACATGTATTTTTATGTTTAATTTTAATTATTTTAGATGTTTTGATAGTTATTTATATTTTTTATAAATTAAAAAAATAAAATAGATGTTTGATGTTGTAAAAATAAAACTAAGAAATTAATTCAATTCAAATAATTATAATTTATTTTAATTTATCAATAAAAATTAAAATTAAATCAAATATTTTCAAATTATATTAAAATTAAACTTAATCGAAACCAGTTAAAACAGAATCAAACATTATAATTCAAATATTTTTTTATTCAGAACCCTTGCTTCTTATCTGGTATTGGTAGAGCACGTGTTCGTAGAATGAACATAGACACGACTTGTAGCCCCACTTTCCCATTGTGATTGTAAAGTAATGGAGTACTAAGATGGTTGACTTCTTGCATATAATATATATTCCCGCTGCCTAATTGGTTATTTTTGTCAGTCCATTTGTTTTATATTAAAAATTATAAAAATAATTTTTTGAAAATTATATTACATTTTTGAAATAGTTTTTGAAAAATAATTTATAAATTTTTTTTTCTGAATATTTAAATGATTTTGTATAAACTATTTTCCACTTACAAATTTCCTTTTAACAGAATCGTGGATTATAATAAGCAAACAGATTATGCATTTATATTGAGAGGTATACTAATAATTGGAATTAACTTATTTTTATAAAAAATTATAATTAAATTACTTAACTAAAAGGTACTGTAGTTCAACTCTTGTTTAAAATATAAGATTGGGAAGAAAAAAAAGTAACACATCAAATCAAGAAACCTTTTTCGATCTTCTATTTGGAATTATCCCCTAAAAGCAGCGATTATTGACGTTCACGCTTTATAAGCTCAACCCACGAGTAACTACCCTATTGGTTTGCCAAATAAAAAGAGTAAATGACTATGCCGTCCTTGCATATCATGCACATGACAACATGGACCTTTCGCCTATAAATGAAGGGGACCCTACACCTTGTACTCCATTTGGGGTCCTATCTGAAAATTGACCCGTTACCGAGGGATGGCTTGACAATCGGCAGTGCCACCTTTAAACTCAACTCTTCCACTAAATTCAATTCCACCACGTAATTTCATATCAAATTATTGCTTCATCTAAATAAAACACAACATAAAAATACTACTCCATATTGATCAAGCTATAAATTTATATGGTAAAGGAAAAACGATTTTTACGAAATCAGTATCGATCGACTTACTAAATTAATTACAATGTTAAATATTAAATGAATAATATAAAATAATGAAATACAAAATAATACAAAATTTGAAGGTGAAACATCAAAACCTGCTGAGATAGAAACTATAATGATAGTTTTACCTTTTAATCACAACTGCCGATAGTCATAACGAGTTTTTTTTATTACATCTATCTAATTAATCAATATATTTTAATTTCTTAGTAGTCTAAAATGATTATAAGGAAAATATTTATTTAATTTTTTTAATCGTTGATAATGCATACGTACTATGTATACATAGCTTCTCAAACTTAAGATCTGTATAGAGAATAATATTTTCTGTTATCATTAAGATACGTAAGTAACCCAATGTTTAGGGTTACAGTTTCAGCTTCATCGTCGGTCGGAGAACAACAGGCTCTTATCACCTTCTACGGAACTACTTGAAGGTTCAGTTTCACCACTCTACTCAGGTAATTGATCAAAGGAAGAATTTGTTTGCGAGGAGGTGAGCTTTGGGCATCGATGTTGGAAGATCTGTTTGTACTGAAACAAGTAGTGTAGTGGGGATTTAGAGGTACGAAGTTGAAGCCTCCTCCGGTGAAGAGACTTGAACAAGGATCTGTAATAGTTGTAAGATTGCCAAGAAAAGAAAAGGAAATGAAGTGGGATTGATTATAATCTGGCCACTGGAATGATGAAACACACATTCATATATATAGATAAGATAGATACACACATGTATACATTTAAATATATGAAACACACCGTTTCAGTTTCATTGACTATAATGATTTTTTTTTTGTACAAACACAACTTTTATTTTATATATCTATCTTTAATTATCTTAAATTATAAATGTTTTTTCTAACTATTTTCATTAAATTATTCCAAAATTGAATTATAAAGTTTTATAAAAAATAAAATTTGAAAAATATAAAACTAAAATTTATACAAAACTATACTATATATATAATTATACAATTTAGAGGAGCATTTTAATGAATATAATATGATAGAGGAAAATAAACTTTAACAATACTCAATATAAAAAAAATTAATAGGAAAATCAACATACCCGCCAATTTCTGTTACATAAAATTCTATAAAGTCAATGTGATATGAACT